GTGTGGTTACATCTCTGTTTTACTGTTGTGTGGTTACATCTATGTTTACATGTTGTGTTGTTTCATCTCTATTTAATTGTTGTGTCGTAACACCTCTGTTTTACTGTTGTGTGGTATTATCTCTGTTTTTCTGTTGTGTGGTTACATCTCTGTTTAACTGTTATGTGGTTACTTCTCTGTTTAACAGTTGTATGGTTACATCGTTGTCTGTTTAACTGTTGGTAAGCTACATCTTTGTTTTATTCGTGTGTTGCTAATCCGTATTTTATTACTGACAATTACATGATGCGACATTAATCTTTCTTTCGTAATATTAATGCTGAACACAATATAAATTGTCATGGTTATTATACAAGGTTCTATCGAAAAACCATCTCCAGAAAATACCCGAAAAACCTAGTGAATTCCAACTATTATTTGTAGGGAAATGGTCACATTATAAATTACGCTTAAAAAGATAATGGATCACCTTGCTTTTTTTAATATTTTCTTCAGGTTGGTAAGTATGGGTTATGAGAAGTTCCTTTTTACACAACCAATACAATTTTCTATGTGACGTTTCGATGACTAGTACGATAGGAACACTGTCACCTTCATCAGACAAATGACCAATGAAGCGTATGCACAAAAATGTGTAAAATGTGTACGAGTTGTCCATAAAATCGATGTTGATTTCGGCGAAGCTGGAAACGTATTTACAATGGTTGTTATATATGTACCGAAATGACTCAATTCAGCTACGCTTTGTTAACACTTGGTCATAGATGTGCGACAGTCTTTGAGCCCCTTCGTCTCGATTTAGTCACCCTGTTTTGTCATTCGTCATAAATATCCGGTCCTGATTTAAATATATCAACTCACGGCAGTTTCTTAATGTTCACTTGTTAACTAGCTTGATAATGAAAGTATCCTGAATGATCAATATCACTGCAGGAGAACTTAGTGGGAGTGTGATATTGTTTTACATATTGCTATCCGCAAAAAGGCCAAGTTTATATCTTCGTGGGAGGATCTGACATTTCATTGCATAAAAAATATCAAAATATATCGATATATTTATTCATAGCTTTATGTATATCAACGTGTAATTCTTGTGTGGCTATATCTCTGTGCTATTATTGTGTGGCTATATCTCTGTGTTATAATTGTGTGGCTGTATCACTGTGTTATTATTGTGTGGCTACATCTCTGTGTTATTATTGTGTGGCTATATTTCTGTTTTACTGTTGTGTTGTTACATCTCTGTGTGTTTACTGTTGTGTGGTTACATCTTTGTCTGTTTAACTGTTGTGTTGTTACATCTCTATTTAACTGTTGTGTTGTTACATCTCTGTGTTACTGTTGTGTGGTTACATCTCTGTTTTACTGTTGTGTTGTTACATCTCTGTTTTACTGTTGTGTTGTTACATCTCTGTTTCACTGTTGTGTGGTTACATCTCTGATTTAATGTTGTGTTGTTCATCTCTGTTTTAATGTTGTGTTGTTACATCTCTGTTTTACTGTTGTGTTGTTACATCTTTGTCTGTTTAACTGTTGTGTTGTTACATCTCTATGTTACTATTGTGTTGTTACATCTCTGTGTTACTGTTGTGTGGTAACATATCTGTTTTACTGTTGTGTGGTTACATCTCTGTTTTACTGTTGTGTGGTGACATCTCTGTTTTACTGTTGTGTTGTTACATCTCTGTTTGTGTTACTGTTATGAAGTTACATTTCTGTGTTATTGTTTAGAGATTTCATCTTTGTGTTATTGTTGTGTTGTTACATCTCTGTATTACTGTTGGTTAACTACATCTCTGTTTAACTGTGTTGTGGTAATATGTTTGTGCTACTGTTGTGTGGTTACATCTCTCTATTACTGTTGTGTGACTACATCTCTGTTGTATTGTTGTGTAGTTACATCTATGTGTTACTGTAGTGTGTTAAATCTCTGTTTTACTCTCGTGTTGTTACATCTATGTGTTACTGTTGTTTTGTTACATCTCTGTCTATTTTACTGTTGTGTTGTTACATCGCTATCTGTTTTACTGTTGGTCGGTTACATCTCTGTGTTACTGTTGTGTGGTTACATCTCAGTGGTACTGTTGTTGGGCTACCTATCTGTGTTATTGTTGTTTTGTTACATCTCTGTGTTAATGTTATGTGGTTACATCTATGTGTGTCTGTTGTGTGGTTACAGCTCTGTTTAACTGTTGTGTGATTACAGCTCTGTTTTACTGTTGTGTGGTTACATCTCTGTGTTTCTGTTGTGTGGTTACATCTCTGTGTGTTTACTGTTGTGTGGTTACATCTCAGTTTTACTGTTGTGTGGTTACATCTCTGTTTTACTGTTGTGTTATTACATCTCTGTTTTACTGTTGTGTTGTTACATCATTGTTTTACTGTTGTGTTGTTACATCATTGTTTTACTGTTGTGTTGTTATATCTCTGTTTTAGTGTTGTGCTGTTACATCATTGTTTTACTGTTGTGTTGTTACATCATTGTTTTACTGTTGTGTTGTTACATCTCTGTGTGTCTGTTGTGTAGTTACATATCTGTTTTACTGTTGTGTGGTTACATCTCTGTTTACATGTTGTGTTGTTTCATCTCTGTTTAATTGTTGTGTCGTTACATCTCTGTTTTACTGTTGTGTGGTTACATCTATGTTTACATGTTGTGTTGTTTCATCTCTATTTAATTGTTGTGTCGTAACACCTCTGTTTTACTGTTGTGTGGTATTATCTCTGTTTTTCTGTTGTGTGGTTACATCTCTGTTTAACTGTTATGTGGTTACTTCTCTGTTTAACAGTTGTATGGTTACATCGTTGTCTGTTTAACTGTTGGTAAGCTACATCTTTGTTTTATTCGTGTGTTGCTAATCCGTATTTTATTACTTACAATTACATGATGCGACATTAATCATTCTTCCGTAATATTAATGCTGAACACAATATAAATTGTCATGGTTATTATACAAGGTTCATTCGAAAAACCATCTCCAGAAAATACCCGAAAAACCTAGTGAATTCCAACTATTATTTGTAGGGAAATGGTCACATTATAAATTACGCTTAAAAAGATAATGCGTCAACTTGCTTTTTTAATATTTTCTTCAGGTTGGTAAGTATGGGTTATGAGAAGTTCTTTTTACACAACCAATACAATTTTCTATGTGACGTTTCGATGACTAGTACGATATGTACACTGTCACCTTCATCAGACAAATGACCAATGAAGCGTATGCACAAAAATGTGTACGAGTTGTCCATAAAATCGATGTTGATTTCGGCGAAGCTGGAAACGTATTTACAATGGTTGTTATATATGTACCGAAATGACTCAATTCAGCTACGCTTTGTTAACACTTGGTCATAGATGTGCGACAGTCTTTGAGCCCCCTCGCCTCGATTTAGTCACCCTGTTTTGTCATTCGTCATAAATATCCGGTCCTGATTTAAATATATCAACTCCCGGCAGTTTCCTAATGTTCACTTGTTAACTAGCTTGATAATGAAAGTATCCTGAATGATCAATATCACTGCAGGAGAACTTTGTGGGAGTGTGATATTTTTGTTTTACATATCGCTATCCGCAAAAACGTCAAATTTGTATCTTTGTGAGAGGATCTGATATGTCATTGCATAAAAAATATAAAAATATATCCATATATTTATTCATAGCTTGTGTAATTCTTGTGTGGCTATATCTCTGTGTTATTATTGTGTGGCTGTATCACTGTGTTATTATTGTGTGGCTATATCTCTGTGTTATTATTGTGTGGCTATATATCTGTGTTATTATTGTGTGGCTGTATCACTGTGTTATTAGTGTGTGGCTACATCCCTGTGTTATTATTTTGTGGCTATATATCTGTTTAACTGTTGCGTGGTTACATCTCTGTGTAACTGTTGTGTGTTTGCATCTCTGTTTTACTGTTATTTGGTAACAACTCTGTTTAACTGTTGTGTGGTAACATCTCTGTTTTACTGTTGACTGGTTACATTTCTGTTTTACTGTTGTGTGGTAACATCTCTGTTTAACTGTTGACTGGTTACATTTCTGCTTTACTGTTGTGTGGTAACATCTCTGTTTTACTGTTGACTGGTTACATTTCTGTGTTTCTGTTGTGTGGTAACATCTATGTTTAACTGTTGACTGGTTACATTTCTGTATTTCTGTTGTGTGGTAACATCTCTGTTTTACTGTTGACTGGTTACATTTCTGTGTTTCTGTTGTGTGGTAACATCTCTGTTTTACTGTTGTGTGGTTGCATCTCTGTTTTACTGTTATGTGTGATATTGTTTTACATATCGCTATCCGCAAAAAGGTCAAGTTTGTATCTTCGTGGGAGGATCTGACATTTCATTGCATAAAAAATATCAAAATATATCAATATATTTATTCAAAGCTTTATGTATATCAATGTGTAATTCTTGTGTGGCTATATCTCTGTGATATTATTGTGTGGCAACATCTCTGTTTTACTGTTGTGTGGTTACATCTCTGTGTGTTTACTGTTGTGTGGTAACATCTCTGTTTTACTGTTGTGTGGTTACATCTCTGTTTACATGTTGTGTTGTTTCATCTCTGTTTAATTGTTGTGTTGTTACATCTCTGTGTTACTGTTGTGTTGTTACATCTCTGTGTTACTGTTGTGTTGTTACATGTCTGTGTTACTGTTGTGTGGTAACATATCTGTTTAACTGTTGTGTGGTAACATCTCTGTTTTACTGTTGTGTTGTTACATCTCTGTGTTACTGTTGTCTTGTTACATCTCTGTGTTACTGTTGTGTGGTAACATCTCTGTTTTACTGTTGTGTTGTTACATCTCTATTTTGTTACTGTTGTGTTGTTACATCTCTGTGTTACTCTTGAGCGGTAACATCTCTGTGTTAATGTTGTATTGTTACATCTCTGTTTTACTGTTGTGCGGTAACATCTCTGTGTTAATGTTGTATTGTTACATCTCTGTTTTACTGTGGCGTTGTTACATCAATATTGAATCACAGCAGCTTTTTACCTTGATGTCTGGATTATCCTCCACCAGTTGTAAAGCAATGTCTTTACAACCTTTTCCGCTCACGTTTCTCATAGCAGAGTCCCCCTCCCAATTCCGATCAGCAACTTTAGCATATCCGGCGGCAGGAGTGGCATGCGTAACTCGTGTTGTGGTGACGAGTCCAACACTCTTTCCTATAAACATTGGATGGCATATTAGTGAAAGTGTTGATTGCCACACCTCCATTGTGGTCCTATCATTCTATCACATTTAGTTTTTTGTTTAGTTTGAATTTTTTTATTTTTTTTCTTGTTTTGAGATCTTCCCCATACCTGCCGACTATCCTTTCTAAGGAAGTGCCGACATTTTTCTTTGTTCCTTGCTTGGTAACGAGTATGGGTCTCGCTGGGTATAAAAAGCACATTACCTGTCAAACCGGTTATCATTCTACAACTGACAGTCTTGCGATTCAATGCACCGCACACCCTGATCGGCAACCGATAAAAAAAATCAAACACACTCACCGGAATTCTTTGAAACACTGTCAAGCTGGTTGTTACTTATGGCACATTCTTGAAAATTATGTATCCAAAATAAAAGTTACATTACTGAACATGCTTCTATAAATCCCATATAAACATTGGTCTTTCTCGTGCATAGAACTGCACCAACACACGTAAAATTTATTATGAACTCGTAGTCTTCGTTGTGTTCAAGTTCAAGTTCTTTATTACTTTAAGACGGTTGACTTATCAGTTATAACATATCTACAAAACAATACAGAGACAACATACAATATGATACACACACACATACACACCCACACACACACACATACACACACACACACTAACCAGCAATAAGCTGAGAAAATTTTGCCAAGATTGTGTAGACGCTTTATTAGCAAAACACCTTCAGAATGCGACACTCCCACGTGAGAAGTCAACAATGTGAAAATTGATAATTGAATCGTTCTCTTGGAAATTATATGAATTAGCATTGTTTTCACATATAAGGTTATCACTTTTTGGATATCTGAAAGGAAGGCATTAGCGTTTGTTGTATGTTTGCTTCTTTCAGGTCCGTTTTTTTGTTGTTGTTGTTTTTTTTTTGGGGGGGGGGGGGGGGGGGGTTGTGCATTAGCTGATTTAATTGGTCGTATTTTACTATTATTTCCACTTTTCTTAGATAAATGATACCTTTGATGTGTTCCATTTCAATTTTATTCAACTGATCTGATACAAAATATTGGTAAAATATCGTGCGTGAAAGTGTTCTATATATATAGTAAGATAGTAGTGTCACCTTGTGCACATATTGCAAAAATGATAACCGGTTTGAAGGGTAATGCGCTTTTTATACCCAACAAAATCCATAGCCGTTACCAAGCAAGGACAAACTAAAATGTCGGCACTTCATTAGAAACGGTAGAAGGAAGAGGTAGGGAAGATCTCTAAACCAGATGATTTTTTTATTTTTTTTTAAATCTCAATTGAAAGCTTTTGAACTTGCACGTTCAGCTTTAATCATCACAATTTTGAGGATTTCGCAAGAACTACCTTATCAGACGCTAACTATTAGTCCTATGCCACCTGGCTCATACCTCCCTACATGTGTATGCATGCGTGTGTGCTGGAGATGACGTGTGTCCTGTTTGTAGTGGGATCGTGCTTCAGCGGCATCATTTATAATGCCACCTCACTTGAATGCTACAGCACAGATACCGCAACATCCCAGCCCATTTTATACTCCACCAAGGTTATTGGACGTGGATCGGCTGGTAAAAAACACTTTTTTTCTGAATAGACATGCGTACGACGATTTTGGGGATCGAACCCCGGTCGCCTGCGTAGAAGGCCGGAGTGTTTACCACTCCACCAATTCGCCCGCAAGATATCTATAGATAAAGACATACAAATGTACTCACCTTTATCCACCGACCAGTTGTAGATTGACGTTAGGTGCGCATCCTTTGAAGCCTCGCAATCACCTCTCTTGACTCTAGCCTCCATTCCCAGCATGCCCATATTGGATTTGACGCCACATAGATATTGAGTTCCGGTTCCGGCGGAATCGGGGGTAGTGTGGTCTTGATTGTATGTCTAATAACAAGAATTTTTTAATGTGAGATGCAGGTCACAAACTTTGATTATACACTGTTTAATTCCTCTGACAAATGGACGTTACGTGTCAATTATGACAAAGGTAAACACATTTCTTTTTCGATCCCTGTCCCACAAACAATAAAGAAGAACTATATTGTATTTTTCTTACATGCAAATGTCCCCTAATTTTTTGTTCTAATGTACATTGTAGCTTGACTGAGCCTGCGGTTTCAACAATTTGCAAAATATACCCAAATACTATAAGTTAATGAGAAATTTCAAAATACGTGATCACATTTCATGATCAGTTGCAGAGACTTCTTCACAACTTATATTCGGGTTAACAGGTTAAGACAATTTGGATTTCCGGCTGTTTGGCCCCTTTTATCACCGATGAGTCCAAGAAGGACGAAACAGCTGCATGGCATACTGTATCTATTACCAAAAGTCACGTCTGTGTGTCTTGCGATCGTTTTTCGGTACAATGAAATGTCAATTGCCCCAGTGATAGGAAAACCCATTTCATTGTTTCCTTCAATACATAATGTTCTACTCGGGATTAGGCTTTGTGAAATATGGCTGGTCTCGGGGAGACATTGAATCGTGTTTCCCTACGACGAGGACAATAAATACATCTTGGTGAACGTCTCGTGAAGAATAAGGGAGTCTAGTTAAGCAATAACTCTTTTTGGCGATACGTTTAGGGGTTATCCTATCATGGCATGTTTACTAGGGAGATACCTTACGTTTAAATGACACTAACAGATATAAATGTCTACGACGGTGAAGTGAATAACAAAACAATCACCTTGATATTGTTTGCATAAAGATATGATCTAGTCTCATCATTTGAATAACGAGATTTCTCTTTTCATTATTAAATCCGGCTGACATGTATTGAAGTTTTGAATTAATATCTTCACCCGTTTATCGTGACATTGCTTGACCTTAGGTGCTAAATTCCCTTAATAGCCTTGTGCCTAGTACTGCGGTAGACAACAACAAATATGCATAATACCCTTATCTTTCGATACTGAGCGCAACGGACTCAGCTAGATTTGGTTTGGTTTGGTTTAGTATTGTTTAAAGTCCTATCAATAGCTATGGTCATTTAAGGACGGCCTCCCCTGTGTAGTTTATGCGTGTGTGTTCTGGGAGGCTGCGATATGTTCGTGTTTGTCTCGTTGTGATAGAGCGAAACGGATGCCGACTTTATAGTGCTACCTCACTGAAACATACTGCCGAAGACACCTAGCAGGACACCCCACCCGGTCACATTATACTGACAACGGGCGTCCCACTCCCAAAGGTCACAGTTCTGTTGTCTAATAAAGTTTACCTAATGTCAATACGTTTTAGTTAATGTATCTCTCATGATACTTTGTTATACACCCTAGGGTTTGAATAGGTATTGCTTTTGTGCATTTGTCCATGTGTGATTTGGTATATCTATCGTATATATATTTACATACTTCATGGCTTAATGATTTCAACTATTGCGAACAATTTAATAATACTATCCTGTTAAACAATACCCAGAAGACCACAAGCTTACTTAACACACAGTAATGTTGCATTCAAGCAACTATGCGTGAATCGTTATATATACAGGCAGCTGTTTAAAGACGAAGAATCCTCATTAAGTCACGCTGATATTCAGTGAAACATATTTGAGGTGCTCTGACTGTCTGTCTGTGTGTCTTTATATATACAAATGCACGTAATAATTGTATTTATACAAAAATATAATGTTAAAATGTTGATTCTTTAGGAACTATTAACAAGTATTTAATTTGTTTTTCTTCAATATTTTTCAAGTTTGATTTGTTTGAAACCCACACCGTGCATTATAAAATTTACTGACCCTGCTTAATGCTGCATTAGGGAATTTATCCCAAGCAAGTTGACCCTCTTCTCCGGTCCTGCCTTGTAGCTGACCCTTAAGGATCCTAGCTGCGGTCACCGTTGATATTCCCATTCCGTCCCCAAGGAAAAACACCACGTTTTTAGCCACGCCTACATTTGGTTTCCAATTCACTCGTCTGTTCAGGTCCTCCTTGGCTATATTCCTCCAATGCAATGGTGCTGGGAGAACAAATAAAGGGAATACGGATATTTTTTTTTTTAAAGTTAAACATGTCTTACTTCATTATATTCATAATACTGGGAAAGTGAAATGGTAACAAAGAAAATACAGATTGTTTATATTAAACGGAAGATCATGTGTAAAAGTACGAAAATAAAACAATGATCACACTTGCTGCGACAAACCAAGACTGAAATGTAAAATAACTACCCCCCCCCNNCCCCCCCACACACACACACACACATTTTTTTTTATTTTATTTACCTCAACCCAACAAATATATCACAAATGTAAACTTAGGGGACACAAGCCTGTGTAGTGAAGGACTAGAAACAGTTATAAAGGAGGTACTATATGGGGTAATGCAGGTTAAACATATGCATAATGACATACGTTACACGTTACCGTTTCCAGGTACGATTAGAATTATTGCATCTAAGCGTGACATCATTCGTTATCACATATAAAGCATACCCGGTGATCATGTGACACGGATGCTACTCTTATCAGCACATGATTGCTAAATGTTGTAAATGTTACAAGGTTATAAGCACTGCCACCTATATGGGTTTTATCTGTTCGCATAGGCAGGCACGATAGTATAGTGGTAGGACGCCGGGCTCGTGACCGATGGGTTGCGGGTTCGAGTCACGTCATGGCACTGTGTTGTATCCTTGAGCAAGATACTTTACTCCGATTGTTCCAGTCAACTCAGCTGTGAATGAGGGTTGGGCAGTGCTAGAATTGTTGAATGCTAGCTGTTAGCGCTGGAATGGAAGCAACGGCTGCATGGTCCCTAGGGAGTTGAGAAAGATATTGGCTGGTTGCAAAGGCCCTATAACCACGGGGGAAAAAATTGTGAACCGCTTTTTAGACGACCTAAAAACTAAGTTGTGATAAAGCGGTATGTAAGAACTTCGAATTGTTATCATAGTTATCATAGTTATCGTAGAGTTTTCGTGCGTAGGAATACTTCAATGAGTGCGAGTAGCGCTCGAGTGGTATGTTAGTCCGCGCAAACAAACAAGTGCTCCCGTCGACGTCAAATAAAACATTGTTGATATACATTGAAGTGGTTTTTTATCATCTTTATACTACATTATACCACCTACCGGTAGCTTGATAAATTAGTATGATGGAGTAACAGTATGAACATATTTTTGAGTTGAGAACGACTTGAAAATGGATTTTTCTTTCTGGGAATGCAATTTCTCCAAAAAAAACCCAAAACGTCTTATCGCGCCAGCTGACGTCATAAACCGGAAATAGTATCCAAACAAGGGCGTTTCCGCGAAAGAAAATAGGCCATCATAAACAACACCATTTTAAGCGTAATTGTGGAGATGGAGAAGCCAACGGAAAAATGTTTTGAAGTTATCTTGCGACATACAATATGTAGTTTAAAGGTGAATGGTATTCCTCCGCGCTAGTCTCCTTTTTGTTTACGACTGTCACAGACCGAGGATACATGTTCCGCTGATCGTTAAGCCTAGGAGTCGATAAATAGATATGCTATTTGGCTGACTGTTTCGACTGAATGGAGAAATACATAAGGTAGTGGTATATAGATGATAAACAGTGTGTTCGGGGTTTGTCGTTAAAGTGCGGTGGCCTCTCAATTCATCAACGTGCTCGCCATAACAAAGTCGTTCTCACGACAAACCCTAAAAAACACAGTGTGGTCATTTATAATAACCTTCCGACTCATGATCTAAATATGAATACATGTATTATTTTTTCTTTAAAATAGTATCAATACTTCTCTTGATTTTCATCTTGTTATCAAAAAACTTAAACTCAACAAAATGGCAGAGAAAATAAATGGAGTAAAAGGGCGGAATGATGACGTCATGTTATCATAGTATCAGATTGGGTTTACATATTTAAAACCTATTCTTGTTTAAATTCCTAGATTCGACCAGTGCATTGCGATTGACAATTTTCAGTCGAATTTGGTATCATGATTTTAGGAACCCATATTTTTAAAATTCCGATTTCTTACCCAATGGGATAATAAATTTAACTAGAACTGTTAGCCAAAGGCTAACTAACATCCCCGCTCATATAAGCCCTCTCCTTACAAAGCATACCAGTATATACATATCATATAAATGTTACTTTTACAGATGTAGTATTAAAATAGGAGAGTATTTGTACTTCGAATTTGACTGACAATACATATTTCAAATATCACAGTTGTTGTAAGAGAGATTAATTTACAAAGCTATTTGAGAATCTAATAAAAAAAAAAAACGTCTGGTGTCTCTAATGTAATTCTGAAACGTCTCCACAATATTTATATTCATATTTACATATCGTGATTGATAACCATAAATAAAAGTTTGGGTTTTGAGTGGAATACATTATGTAGCATCACTCATCGCTGACAGATAGTTACACTGTAAGTAATATTAGTCGTTGGTTAGAATAAAAAAAGGACAGTGCAGGGAAAAATGATCACGATCTTCGAATGGGCGAACCACATATATAAGTGGGGCTATCATTTAAATGTGAATGAAATAAATCGGAATTTAGATTACTTGCAGAATTTCTTAACTGACATAATATGTTATGTTATTTTTTCTGTCACTGTGATATTTACAAATGTAACTTCATATTGGGTGATTTCAGAGCTCCAAGAGATGTCATAGTGGGAAACAGACAGGCTGGATTGTTCCATTCTGACATAGGTTTTGGGAAAAAACTAGAGTTATATAAATGTTCAATGTTATTAAAAAAAAGGCAGTATCAAGTCTTAGACATGAGATGGACAATTGTTATTAAAAAAAAAAATCCAATATTTTGATGTAAATGCCTTCTTTTACTAAGTGTAACAAAGCCAGTCTCTTTAAATAATGTTATGGCTCGTTCCTCTTCTTAAACCAGAAATAATGCGTGCTGCTTCAAGTTGGATTGACTCTAAGACGTTTCACTCTCTCTGGGAACAGTTAGCCCGAACAATATCAGCATATTCTAGGATTGGACGAACATATGATATATATATTGTCTCAAGAGATTTTCTATTTCTCTTAAATTTTAACATTCTAAGAACATTCAGTCTTTTATATGCTTTTTCATAAATATAATTTATATGAGTTGACCAGTTGGCTTTGCCATTGAAAATAAGACCAAGGCGTTTATGATCAGTAACGTTATTAATAACTGCATTATAAAAAAATAAGTTAGGATGCAACTTCTCAGAGTCGACCCGCCTTGAGAAAAGAAGAGCCTCAGTTTTATCCGGATTGAAGATGATACCCCATTTATCAGCCCAGATAGATATGTTACGTAAATCTTCATTAAGTATGTCAGCAGCTTCCTGTCTGTTTCCCTCTATCAATGCATATAAAGATGTGTCGTCAGCGAAAAGCTTGACATAAGAGATTTCATTTTCTCCGATATCATTTATGTACAGTAAAAATAAATATGGCCCTAAGTATCCGGTTTCAGTATGTGCATAGATAAAACAGCAGATTGAGAAAAATTGTAAACAAATTTCACGGATAAACAAGTTAAAACAACCATTATATTACATAACTATCATATTATGCTTTGAACACAGTGTGATATCTGCTGCGTATTTCTATTGGCTGTGCCGCCCATTGTGACGTCAGAGATAATACAATGTATCAAATATGTGACGTCATTACAAGTTTGACGTTGTATTCAATACAATACTTATGAGGTAAAAAGTGCAACGTCTGTTTTGAGAAAACAAATTTTTGAGAATATTTGCATTATGTTCATAATTTTCGGAAACGTTTATAACAATCGGTAACCCATGTCCATTTATTTTAGTATTCTATAGGAATGAAAGTTATTTTTTCAACATTCATGAGGTCATAACAACATTGGCTTTTTGGACATATTCCATGAATCGCGTTAGCGATTCTTGGTAAATATGTCAAGAAAGTCAATGTTGTTATAACCTCATGAATGTTGATAAAATAAATTTCATTCCTTATATTTACATTTTTAAGTGCTTTGAATTTTCCGATGCAAGCATAAATAACAATCAACCGACATTGTAATTATATTTGTGCATGGGGGCAACGCAGTAGAGAGAACAACGTGTTTTCGCGGGAAATTGTAAAACTTCAGGTTGGGGTCCTACCAACAGCATGACAACAAAACAAACAGAATATAGAGTGTAGTTCTATTTTCAAATTTAATTTGTAGAACTAGCACACGTCGGATATTATTATCATGTATCTTACACACCTCATTTGAGAATTAAGATGAATCCTATCATGTTTGATGTTAATCATATTAGCATAACTTAGCTACACCTAGGGCTGTTTCACGGCGGACGTTAAACGATTACGCCATGTGCTACGTCATTATCAATATCAATACGCATGGATGAGGTCACCTGTGTTCTGCAAAAATGAATGTCATTTTCGCCGATGGGTCCAAGCAAACAGAATGTAAATATTCATTTATAAAATACGTCTATTGTTCTGTTTATTTTGTATTTTTTTAACAGATCGTATTAATACATCATAAAAATTAGTTCCATATTACTATTTATTACTCTATTGAGGTATTTTATAGCTTGAAACGGGTTATTGAAATATGAAACATCATATCAAAATCTGATATTCCTTTTTTTCACAGTTTCAGTTTTAGAATGTCCAAGTTTCAAAAAACCAGTTGGAAAAGTAATGAGTAATAAAATCATCGGTTTAAGGTATTTACATCAATTTGTTTTCGGGATAATAGCATCAATAAACAGTTTCCTTTGTTTGTTAAATTGCACATTCGGTGACAAATACAACATACATACTTTCCTGGTTTCCGCTAAACCGGCTATCAGTCATCTTTCCAGATTTGTCAATTGGCACCAATAACCCGCTGCAAACAGAAAACAGCAAAAAACTACTGAACGCCGTTACCGAGTTAAGCACAGCCATGACAAGATCTTTCTCGAATGTGGTTTTCCCGAAGAATACCCAGGACATTCGCCGGGCAGACGTAAATACAACCTAACCGTCCTTGACACGCACGTGATACTGCAAGGTAGGTGACTTGTTTCGCTACATATCTTTGTCACAGACACTTGTTTAACTAGATAAAGAATCGATGGGGTATATCATCTGATAGTGACACAATGCCTGGATACTAGATATGTAATGAAATCGAATCAATTTAAGCAGAAATATATTATGAAATATGGATGATATATGGACTCCATGTAACAATTCACTCCAGAACAACTTAATGACGCATGTATTTGATTCACATTCATATTATATATATTTCTGCCCCAAATGTTTAGTTGAAATATATTCAAATGTGTACCGTTTATAACAATAATTAGATCTTATATTGATATTATAATGTTTCAGTTATGATAAACCTAACGAGGGCGTTTAGTGCAATTGATTTTCATTGACTTAAATGACATTCAATCTATCATCACCATATACCATCATCTTTCATCATCGTCAACAAATATCAGCGTCCTCTACAATGTTTGATCATCATCATTATATACCATCATCTAACAACATATCATTGTCCCCTACAATGTTTGATCATCAGCATTATATACCATCATCTAACAACATATCAGCGTCCCCTACACTGTTTGATCATCATCATTATATACCGTCATCTAACAACATATCAGCGTCCCCTACTATGTTTGATCATCATCATTATATCCCATCATCTTACAACATATCAGCGTCCCCTACTATGTTTGATCATCCTCATTATATACCATCATCTAACAACATATAAGCGTCCCCTACACTGTTTGATCATCAGCAATATATACCGTCATCTAACAACATATCAGCGTCCCCTACAATGTTTGATCATCATTATATACCATCATCTAACAGCATATCAGCGTCCTCTACAATGTTTGATTATCATCATTATATACCATCATCTTACAACATATCAGCGCCCCCTACAATGTTTGATGATCATCATTATATACCATCATCTAACAACATATCAGCGTCCCCTACAATGTTTGATCATCATCATTATATACCGTCATCTCACAACATATCAGCGTCCCCTACAATGTTTGATCATCATTATATACTATCATCTAACAGCATATCAGCGTCCTCTACAATGTTTGATCATCATTATATACCATCATCTAACAGCATATCAGCGTCCTCTACAATGTTTGATCATCATTATATACCGTCATCTAACAACATATCAGCATCCCCTACAATGTTTGATCATCACCATTATATACCATCATCTTACAACATATCAGCGTCCTCTACAATGTTTGATCATCATCATTATATACCGTCGTCTTACAACATATCAGCGTCCCCTACAATGTTTGATCATCATCATTAAATACCATCATCTAACAACATATCAGCGTCCTCTACTATGTTTGATCATCATCATTATATACCATCATCTTACAACATTTCAGCGCCCCCTACAATGTTTGATCATCATCATTATATACCGTCATCTCACAACATATCAGCGTCCCCTACAATGTTTGATCATCGTCATTATATACCGTCATCTAACAACATATCAGCATCCCCTACAATGTTTGATCATCACCATTATATACCATCATCTTACAACATATCAGCGTCCTCTACAATGTTTGATCATCATTATATACCATCATCTAACAGCATATCAGCATCCTCTACAATGTTTGATTATCATCATTATATACCATCATCTTACAACATATCAGCGCCCCCCACAATGTTTGATGATCATCATTATATACCATCATCTACCAACATATCAGCGTCCCCTACAATGTTTGATCATCATCATTAAATACCATCATCTAACAACATATCAGCGTCCTCTACTATGTTTGATCATCATCATTATATACCATCATCTACCAACATATCAGCGTCCCCTACAATGTTTGATCATCGTCATTATATACCGTCATCTAACAACATATCAGCATCCCCTACAATGTTTGATCATCACCATTATATACCATCATCTTACAACATATCAGCGTCCTCTACAATGTTTGATCATCATCATTATATACCATATATCAGCGTCCTCTACAATGTTTGATTATCATCATTATATACCATCATCTAACAACATATCAGCGCCCCCTACAAGGTTTGATCATCATCATTATATACCGTCATCTTACAACATATCAGCGTCCCCTACAATGTTTGATCATCGTCATTATATACCGTCATCTAACAACATATCAGCATCCCCTACAATGTTTGATCATCACCATTATATACCATCATCTTACAACATATCAGCGTCCTCTACAATGTTTGATCATCATTATATACCATCATCTAACAGCATATCAGCGTCCCCTACAATGTTTGATCATCATTATATACCATCATCTAACAGCATATCAGCGTCCCCTACAATGTTTGATCATCATCATTATACACCATCATCAACAACATATCAGCGTCCTCTACAATGTTTGATCATCATCATTATATATCATCATCTAACAACATATAAGCGTCCTCTACAATGTTTGAACATCATCATTATATAACATCATCTAACAACATATCAGCGTCCCCTACAATGTTTGATCATCATCATTATATACCATCATCTTACAACATACCAGCGTCCCCTACAATGTTTGATCATCATCATTATATACCGTCATCTAACAACATATCAGCGTCCCCTACAATGGTTGATCATCATCATTATATACCATCATCTTACAACATATCAGCGTCCTCTACAATGTTTGATCATCATCATTATATATCATCATCATTATATACCGTCATCTAACAACATATCAGCGTCCCCTACAATGTTTCATCATCATCATTATATACCATCATCTTACAACATATCAGCGTCCCCTACTATGTTTGATCATCCTCATTATATACCATCATCTAACAACATATCAGCGTCCCCTACAATGTTTGATCATCATCATTATATACCATCATCAACAACATATCAGCGTCCTCTACAAGGTTTGATCATCATCATTATATACCATCATCAACAACATATCAGCGTCCCCTATAATGTTTGATGATCATTATATACCATCATCAACAACATATCAGCATCCCCTATAATGTTTGATCATCATCATTGTATACCATCATCAACAACATATCGGCGTCCTCTTCAATGTTTGATCATCATCATTGTATACCATCATCAACAACATATCAGCGTCCTCTACAATGTTTGATTATCATTATATGCCATCATCTATCAACATATCAGCGTCCCCTACTATGTTTGATCATCATCATTATATACCATCATTTAACAACATATCAGCGTCCTCTACTATGTTTGATCATCATCTTACATCATCATCTAACAACATATCAGCGTCCTCTACAATGTTTGATTATCATCATTATATACCATCATCTAACAACATATCAGCGTCCTCTACTATGTTTGATCATCATCATTATATACAATCATCTAACAATATATCAGCGTCCTCTACAATGTTTGATCATCATCATTATATACAATCATCTAACAACATATCAGCGTCCCCTACAATGTTTGATTATCATTATATACCATCATCTATCAACATATCAGCGTGTCCTACTATGTTTGATCATCATCATTATATACCATCATCTTACATCATCATCAACAACATATCAGCGTCCCCTACAATGTTTGATTATCATTATATACCATCATCTATCAACATATCAGCGTCCCCTACTATGTTTGATCATCATCATTATATACCATCATCTAACAATATATCAGCGTCCTCTACAATGTTTGATCATCATCATTATATACCATCATCTATCAACATATCAGCGTGTCCTATTATGTTTGATCATCATCTTACATCATCATCAACAACATATCAGCGTCCCCTACAATGCTTGATCATCATCATCATCAACACAACAACAATGTATGACCATCATCAACATTATATACAATCACCTTACATCATTATCATCATCATCATCATTATCATCGTCATCATCATCATCATCATCATCACCATCATCATCATCATCATCAACACAACAACAATGTATGACCATCATCAACATTATCTACAATCACCTTACATCATTATCGTCATCATCATTATCATCGTCATCATTATCATCACATTTGCATACGATGAACGTAGCTACATGTTATTACATCTTTTAATGACATACCCAAGTATTTACCCACCACTCCAGCTCATACCAAAATATCGTTGACTGAAGACGTAACATCACCCTTTGCTCACAACACACACATTTGCTGTATGTCTGGCTTGCAAGCTTTCCTTCCAACTTGGCCTGTCTTGCTTTTCTTTTTTATTATTTCTTATCGTCTAATGACTTCACTCTCCTTTCATCTTCATTACATTGTTGTTACATTGTCTTACAATAATTTCGTTTACTATACTACTTAGAATTCTTTTCAGTTTAAAACATGTATACATTATGTCTGGAACTTGTTTAGCAAGCAGCAGGATATATAGGAGGTTTGCATGCATCAACATTCAACTGGTTTGCTCAGGGGCAAGATTCATTCTAGACACAAATCACAAACAAATTTAAGAAGTCAGTTGTTTGCTTATATGGGGTATCGTCTGTGATAGCCCAGTCTAGCTAGTGCGCTGATAATTTATATATTGCCCCCACCCCCTCCCGCCCCTCCCATAGCTATAGGATGACGGATGATTAATACAGAAGTATGGAAATAAACCAAACACTGACTGTTTTCTGCCAAGAGAAATGTTATTGAGCTTCAAAAGGAAGTAACATGCATTCATTTGACAAAATGCATGTCAGGCCCTGTAGGGCATTTCTTTTTGCATGATTTTGAATATAAGTTATTGTTTGTGTTTAGCCATGGTATGATCAAAGTACTTGTAACGTTTTTGAAAATCCGTGCGTGGGCAGGGTCTATGGGAATTTTAACATAGGCAAGAACCTTACCTTTCTAACGCAGATACTTCTATATACGGTAACATATTAAGCATAAGCATCAGTTTGGTAGCGAAACTAATATACTGTAACT